ATTTGTTGCTTTATACACTTTTATTCACTGTTATACTGGATTTGCTGTGAATTTCAATAAAGTTTGAAGTATTGGAATTCTCTGGATAGTGCGGTCTGTTCGTATACTACTACATTCCAAGGTGGAGACGCACCTATTAGACCAGCACCTGGGGAGTCCTGATGGCGGCTAAGGAATTGGAGCGGTGAGATTTCCTTTGGCTCCACATTAGGTTTACATTGATTAGTTTTTCATTTTTGAATAGAGTATTACTAAACTGTATATACACACATATGCAGTCTATGCCCTATATTATGTAGATGCCATTTCAATTTCATTTTGAGGTAAGCTGTACAATTTGTATGTTTTAATCATCCATTCATTCATTGCTTTACGTATGCTCCAAGTAGATACATTGGAAAACCAGGAGTGCAAAGTGAACTTGACCTGGACAACAATATGTCTAAATTAATAACTGTTCTGAATTGCAGGGATCTTCTAGTGCCTGCAAGTACCTGTGTTAGTCTTCAAATAGATATCTGTGTCCCTGTGGGGCCTTCTGGAACCCTAGTCCAATGCCATACATACAGGTGAAACTCGAATAATTAGAATATCGTGCAAAAGTAATTGCAGTAAGTGCTGCAAAAGGGGCCCAAACCAAGTACTGAGTACATATGCATGCTTGTACTTTGCAGAGGTCTGATATTGTTCTATGTACAATCCTTGTTTTGTTTATTGCATGTAATAATCTACTTTTTTGAGGTTGTGGATTTGGGGTTCTTGGGGTTTTCATGAGCTGTAAGCCATAATCATCACAATTATGACAAATCACGGCTTGAACTATCTTGCTTTGCATGTAATGAGTCTATCTCATATATTAGTTTCACCTTTTAAGTTGCATTAGTGAAATAAATGAACTTTTGCACAATATTCTAATTATTCTGGTTTCACCTGTATAACCTCTACTTCTTCCCATAGTGAGATTAAGCTTTAAATCCTGCACCACCCACTGAAGTTCTGGCATTTGACAGATGATTGAAAGGGCTCAGGTTTCCCACGAGGAGAAAGAAGGTGCTTCACTTAAATGCCAACCATATACCTAAAAACAATAGGATCAAATTTGCAAAATCAGTCAATATGCATGGCTCAGATTTTTTGTAATGTAAATCTAACATTACATTAATGCAGAAACACATGCTTTTGTTTTGCATGCCTTGGTTCTTCCCTCCACTGTTCATCAATATCCTAATGAAATTTTGATGTAAATACTGCCTGTTTTCATTACTTAACTTATTGTTGTTCTCTGTGCAATGCAGGTAGATCATGGCTGGTAGGAGGGGCTTCACACAACTTTCTGAACACAGCACACTGCCCTAGGTAAAGCCCACATGTGATATTGAGCCTTCATGATTATATGAAGGGGCAGATCAGGGACAGTCAGGCTAGGGAGGAAAGGGATAGAGATGCTGGATGTCCTTCAGCTAGGAAATGAGGTGGGCTCTCTCTGACTGTTTCAGCTTGTAATGCACATTTCAGAAGCTCAAAGTGTGCAGTAAAATCAGAGTAAGTAATTTCAGTACAGGAGAAGTCTAAAACTTTGCAAAGCTGAAGGTGAGGCTGGAGATTAGCTTTAGTTTCCCAGCTTTTATGGTGATATGCTGGCTTTGATATTTTAGTTTCTGACCCGGAACTAGTATGAAAATCACAAAGTTCAGAATACCTCATCTACATACTTATTTCTGGTCAGAATATGGAAGCAAAACTGGAATCATGATAGGCAGGAAACTAGCATCTTTGGGAGGGGAAATTAGCACTGGCAGCCTTTATATTTTTCAAAGGTTGCAATGGCCTCTGAGCTCATGGGGACAGATGGTCCAACCATAGCTGCTACTCCTATGATTCCCAATTTGTATGTTATTACAGATAACAGAAAAATGCATTATTTCTCTGCCCTTCACAATCCTTTATCCATTTTGCCAGAAAAGGGTTTTTGTATATCTAAATAGACTAAAGATTGTAAAGCTTTTGCATGAATATCATCAGACTTAATCAATAAGGTATTCAAAAACAGTCAGGGTGGAGGTCACACAGAACTTTATATTTCTTGATGTACTCATCTTTTATACAACATAAATAAATAAAAAATATATAATACATAATACAATATATAATACATAATAAAAAAATAAAAAATAAAATAATAAAATAAAAATACAACATAAATGAAATAAAGAGTTCACTGTAGGTAACCTTAGCCTTAGTAAAGCATGTACCTTTCAAAATGCTTTGGATAAATACACATCTATTTTTTTAAATTAATTAATTCAAATAAATAAAGATAAGAATTACACTAAATGGACTATTAGTTCTAACAATTCAACTGCCACCTGAACCATACTGAAATCTCGTGTATTGGATGACAGGGTTCTAAGGTCAATAATATGTTATCAGTGTCAAGGAATAGTCAGCTCAAGCTTACGGCAATGCATATTTTTAGAATATTTTCTATGCACAGTATAATTAAATGAGAAAGTCATGATCTTTATACAAACTGCTTATTATTTAAACATGCTGTAATCCAAGGTGTTGCTAGGGTTCTAAAAGACCTAGTCCAACCCAGGGACCTTCAAGAGCAAAGAAGAGCAAATATATTATACCAATCGGTGGGCATGACCACAGTGGGCAAGGTTTAACATGATGAAATTAAAGTACCTGAACTTTTAAACCTACATTATTTAAGCTACTGTACTCATATCAAATCCTAAGCAACAAGAGATGCCCAATCATCTCAATAGTTTCTGCATCCATCATCTCTCTCACCGCAATCTTATTTTGACCAATCACCATTAAAATCTTTCATAGTAACCAGTCAATTGTGGGAATGATATTACATGATTATTGAACAGGCCACTCGTGATCCACTAAACCCTAGAAAATAAAACTACAGTTAAATAATTAATCTTATATAATCCCTAATATACATTAAAACATGGATTTCTGGCGAGCGCAGTGTATCTTTTCAAGCACAGCGGTGATTGGAGGGGAGATCATCTCAATTATCATTTACACTGTGGATCTGGCACCTTTTGGAAGCTTGTAAGAACTGATGTCTTTTGAGAAGAGTGCTTTTAAGTTTAATTGGACATTATTTGCACATTAATATTTATTGTGGTTATGCGCATTTGCGCATTACAACTGTTGAAAAGAGGAATGCACATTTGCTTAAACCTATAATAGGCAATTTAATAGTTAGATATATTGAGTATACACATTTTGATTTGCACTTATTGCTTAGTAACCAGTATTGCCCACGCAAATGATCTGTTGGGCTGTTGTGGCCACTTCTGTGCTGACACAGTTGGACTACTGGTTGTGGTGGTTTGGAGATACAGTAATCCAGGATGTTTTCAGAGATATACATTCTATGAATGGCATGAGATGAAGAGGAACTGTAGAGGATGCATGGCAGTCTTGTTTATTTGCTAATTCTACAGCTTATTTCTAGAGGTACAGCATAGAAACATGGGGGATTCCACTGCTGACTTGTTTTTGAAGGTGCATTACCCAGAACGGGAACGGCTTATCCATACAGCACTACTTAATGAGTCACTGGCTTGAAAGAAGCATATGTATATTAAGTATCTCAACACATATATACATACTTTTTCCAGGTTGGCGACAAAAAATAAGGATGCCAGCTACAGGGCATGCATCTTTATAGTCTCAGCCGCTCCCATTTTTCAATCCTGATAGCTTCCTTTTAAGGGCCTGTTCACACCACAATGCATGTGTTAACAGAAAATCTGATGAGCTACATTGCCATTTGCTTTAAGCATGCATGTTTAAAAAAACTCCATTTAAATTGACTGGAAGGGCAAAATGCACATCAGCACCCCAAGACGTAGCATTCAGAGCATTCTGAATTATGTCCACAGTAATTTGGTAGGTAAGGCCCTACTGAACACAATGAGGGGAATTTATCAAAACTGGAGCAGACAAAATCTGGAGCAGCTGTGCATAGCGATCTATCAGATTTTCTCTTTCATTTTCAATTCTTAAAGGTGAACTATGAGCCGAGTGAAAAGCACTCAGCCTCATAGTTGTAGCCGACCTGTGACAATGAAACTGTCACAGGTCGGCTCAATAGATCGGGAAGTGAGCGAACACATAGCGTCACTCGCTCACTTCTCGACCTATCCCTGCAGAGAGCCGTGGCTGTCACTCACGGCTCCCTGCAGGGATTCCCCCCTCCCCTGTCCGATCCTCCAGCGCTGACTGGCGGAACGGACGGGGGAGGGGGCGGGTACAGCTGGCTCTGCCTCTAGATCGGCAGAGCCAGCTGTCAATGACGCAGCTGGGCAGATCCAGACATAATTGTCGGGATCCGCTTCAGCTGCGGTGTCTCAGTATACAGAGACTCGCGGTATACTGCGGCGTCTCAGTATACTGCGAGCTACAGCTCGCGGTATACTGAGCCTAGGGTGACGGGAGGACGCTAGTTTGTGTCCTCCCGTTACCCTTAGGAGAACTATGGGGAAAAGCCCTGACCCCATAGTTCTCCTTTAAATCAACAAACTGAAGAAAGAAGCTAATCGGTTGCCCTGGGCAACTGCTCCAGATTTCGTCTGCTTCAGTTTTGATAAATTCCCCTCAATGATTATTGATATTACATAGGCTGTTAGTGGGTACTAGAGGTACAACAGGTGTATATACTCAATTGCAATGGTAGTTTCAAGCTCAGGAGCCAGGATACGAAGAAAACCTTGTCAATGAACCCAAAGCAGCCAATGCGCAATCACCTCCCATAGATCTGACTGATCTGAACTCATGAGAGATAAAACACTTACTGTACACAGTTCCCACACATCATTGCTCTTCACACTGTGTTAGATAAGCTTTAGAGTGTAACTTTAACTCTCTTCCTCTGACCTCTCATTACTTGTGCCGTCCATTAAATTGAAAACATTTAACAAATAATTTTTTAAAAAAACACACTCCAATAATATATATATACTACTCACGTGTTCCATCAAATCTTGTCGCTATGGTATCTAAGAAAGTATTCTGAGGAGCAAGCAGCCCTCTCATGGCTGGCATTTCTCTAGTTTTCACTGCAGACACTCTCCAAGCTTGGGCTGCGCAGAGAAAACACACAGTTCTGTCATTAACGTGCAAGTCTGCCTGTCAAAAGCTATTAGGTAATGGCATCCAGTGTTTATCTGTCAGTAGTGGGGCAGGCAGCCTGTCATTTTTGCCATATGATAGTCTGTTTTGTAAGGCACCGCTCTGTCTAATAAGTCAACCACAAACTGCTAATGTGAAGACAGTAATTACTGTCTTATATGGAATGTAAACAGCATGGAAAATGTACTGCAAAATGATATCCATTTGCCAGTGTTGTCAGCTTTATCATAAGGCGAGTTAGTGCCAGCAGAGAGTAGCAAAACCATCTACGATTTTCTGAGAATGGAGCTGATGTAAGAGAATTAGGTGCTTCATAGAAAACAAAATATCTGATCTGAAAAAATGTAAATGATCTTTAACGGTTTGGGCAGATAAAGTGGATCGAAAAATATATTTACAGATACTATGTGCTCTTTTCATTGAATCTAATCATGCAAAGAACCAGGATTCATGATGCACTCATCTTGCTAATTAAATATTTAAAAATGTAGAGTATCTGATTTCTTCAAGCAGCCATCCATGGAGAATCACAGACTGTCTCATGTATCTCTAGAAATTTGCTAAGAGTAAGTTGAACGGGCAGAAAGTTTAGCAACATTTAGTTATTAATAGTGAATGGTTCTGCCATAGGTTATGCGTGATTCTGCATTATACTCAGTGATGTAAATAAACATAATCCATGTAACTTCACTATGAAAAAAAGAATGAAAAGTTATAAATGGAACAATTTCAGCTGTAGTAGATTCTTACAGCAATACCCCAAATTGCTGCATTGTTTATAAAGATTAACATGAATATTTACTAGGTTAGGGCTAAATAAATGAGGATGTGCAAAGTGAAGCAACCTACCGCACAAAGAAATGCAAAGTGCAGTTATGCACAACACAAGGACATGCAAAGTACAGCAAAATGGTGTGCATGGTAAGGTAACCCAGAGCATAATGATGTGCAAAGTACAGTCACCCACAGCCTGTTGATGTGCAAAGTGGCGTAACCCACAACATGAGGTTGTGCAAGGAGTAGTAGACCACAGCATGATGGTGTGCAAAGCACAGTACCCTACAGCATGATGGTGTGAAATAACCAACAACATGATGGTGTGCAAAGTGCAATAATCAACATCATGATGGTGTGCAAGGTATAGTAACCCACAACCTGGGGTTGTGCCAAATTAAATAACCCACAGAAGGATAGCTTACATCATGATAGTGTGTAAAGTGCAGTAACTCACATCATGATAGTGTGCAAAGTGCACTAACCCACAGAATGATACTGTGCATAGTGCACTAACCCACAGCATGATAGTGTGGAAAGTGCAGTTACCCAGAGCACAACGGTGTGCAAAGTTCAATAACCTAGTGCATGATGGTGTGCTAAGTACAGTAATCCACAGCCTGTTGATGTGCAATGTGCAGTAACTAACAGAATGATGATGTGCAAAATGGAATAACCCACAGCATAATAGTGTGCAAAATGGAATAACCCACAACATGATGATGTGCAAAGTGCAGAAGCCCACAGCCTGATAGTGTGTAAAGTACAATAACCCACAACATGATGGTGTACAAAGTGCAATAACCCACAACATGATGGTGTACAAAGTGCAATAACTCACAACATGATGGTGTAGAAAGTGCAATAACCCACAACATGATGGTGTACAAAGTGCAATAACTCACAACATGATAGTGTGCAAAGTACAATACCTCACAGAATGATGGTGTACAAGTGCAATAACCCACAGTATGGCAGTGTGCAAAGTGGAATAAGCCACAACATGATGATGTGTAAAGTGCGGTAGCCCACAGCCTGATAGTGTGTAAAGTACAATAACTCACAGCCTGATAGTGTGTAAAGTACAATAACCCACAGCATGATGGTGTACAAAGTGTAGTACCCCACATCATGATAGTGTGCACAGTGCTATAACACACAATATCAAAGTAAAATTGTTTATCAGTTTAAAGCAGTAAGAACTATTACAGAAGATTGGATGTTATAGCTAACTCCATTTTGCCTTTTTTTAAATGTCTGTATATGTGAGTGCAGTGTTAAAAGTCATGTAAAAGTTATGTTCAACAGGCGAAATGTTCTCCAGTCAGATATATACAATGCAATATCCTCTTCTCCCTATACACAGTAGGATGCATGTGACTGGTAATGAGAGCTAACAGTTTATGTTTAACAGTTATTCAGAGATTGTGTAATGATGGAAAAGTGTTAAGCCCTTGCATTCCCCTTCATGCTGAGCAATAGATATCAGAAGCCTAAAGTTAAAAGCAGCAGGAAAATGTGGTACTGTGTCAAGAACAGATTGAGGCATATAGGTGTAACACTCACACCATCACCTGCATCTTCTCACCTGATGTCCGTCATCTCTTAGGCAGCCAGCAGGAGATGTATAGTAGAGGGAAGGATCACCAGATGACACTTCTGACAGTGATCAGAAACAAATCTTCTTCAGGAGTCACTCCCACCTCAACTTCAGCATCCAAAATCCTCATCTCCCTCCTCTCCGCTTCCCTGTCAGCCTCCTGTAGACTGCTTGGGAACAGATTTGCTTTTATTCCCAGCTTGAAGTTTCCATAGTTACTACTGACACACCCGCTCTTCTTAAAGAGACAATATGCTGATCAGCAGAAGAGACTAATTATGGTACTGAGGCCCGTTTCAAGAGCTACACAATAGAGCTCAGCGGAGATGTGGTTGACAGCAAACAAAATGAAACAGTTTTTTTTGCTTAGGTAGCAACAAAATAAAAATTCACCCATGCCCATACAATGGAACAGTTATCTGTAAAGAAAGGTCATTTTAGGTTTCCCATAAACAGCCCAATAAAAGCAAATGATTCTCCAGATGTTGAGCATCTCTTGTAATAGTTGGGCCATTTCTGATGTCCTGGTGGGCAGTCAGTTGTGCACAAAGTACATTGATAATCTTGTTGGGATATCTGCATGCAAGTTCAGTTCAGAAAATCAAAGTACCATGTGACCACCACTATCAGCCTTATGTGAAGATTATGGCCATGCATGTCCTGGCACCCAGGACTGGCAGATATCGCTCCATTGATCACTTTCTGGTAGATGTCGGTCTATGGCTAAGGTTAGACATTCCAGCCAATGTAGACAATATGATCTTGTGGGGAAGTGCAGATATGAGGGTTGGATATTAAATTAAGGCAGAATAGGGCCTTTTGCAAAGTAGTAGCTTTGCCCTCCCATCCCTTCGATTGGATGTCCCACATTTGCCTTGTCTGTAGTGAAATGGCCCTAGTCAAAACCAGGAAGGTGCATAGGTTTGACCTTTTGGTTTAGTGCAGTAGGACAAAGATTTTAGTTGCCCCCCTGGAGATAAGGCTCTAGGCTCCTTCCTAACTTGTTTTGTGGATGATCTACCTCTGACAAGTGCTGTATCTGACAAGCTAAACTATAGACAAACAAATCTTTTACTGATCAGGTTGCCCACAACAAAGAATCAGAAGTGTTGTTCAGCAGGATCTATCCATGTATCGGCAATGTTTGTTTAAAACGCAATATAATGTCTTTGTATTTTTGACCGTTCCTGGCATGGTATTTAGCATGTTTGTTCCTGGGAAATATACCGTGTCTTTTAAACTAACCCTGTGTCATCATAGTTTCAGCTTTGTGCATGGTAAATACTTTTCTTTTGATTTTTTTCCTTGAAATACACTCTAAATTAACCCTATTAGGTTAAAAAAAAGAGAAATTATATTATATTTACCTTTCTGGCAGCCTGTGACTCCTACCTCCTGTCCGTTCCGGTGCTGCAGCCTTCATCAGTCTTTTCATCATTTTACATTTCCTAGGGTGTGTGGAATGGGGGGGAGGGACACAAAATGTGGGACAGAAGCATCTGACACTGTTGGAGGCTGTAGGACTTGAAAGTATAGGGGGCCGAGACAGCTGTTTTCATTTTTGTGCCTGAAATGGTGACTTAAATAAAGTTACAATAGCCTGAGTAGTACAGCACGGTCTACTACAGGAAGAAACGTGAGTGATCTAATGGTACTTCTCATGTTGCTCATTTGTGTTACATGTGGATTTTCCTCCATTATTTTTTTGCAGAGGTGTCTGTATCAGGATGGGTTTAATGTTTTACGACTTGGATGGATAATTTTCCACTAAACTAGGTAGGAATGTTTTATGCTGGGTGGCCGAGGATGGTAGGAGGTCGGGGGGCTCCGTCTTTTGTCAAGTGGTCCCCGTGTCCTAATCTCCCTGCTTTTCTGGCACCATGGGGGCATACTATTATTTGGGAGCCCGTGGGATCTCTAAATCATATCTTCCTTGTTCATGCTCTAGTAGTGTTCTTTTTTTTTTTATTCGAATAGGTTTTATTGAAAATGTTTCAATACAGAAGTGAACAATGCACAATGAAATGAAAATAAAGAGGTATATTGCGGTAATTATGACAGGTATTTCCATACAACGTAAATCTACAAAGCATACAACAATGTAAGGTCACAATAGGATCTCAATCATGGTCTCTAGTAGTGTTCTTTAAACAAGTATGCACAGGGGTCGTGCCAGGCTTACTGCCTGGGTGCCTGTGCTCATTTATGGTTACAGCTAGTTTAATTTTTTTCCATCCCTTTGCAGTTGGACATTGAGGGGCTCTAGGGGTACCTGTCTCTAGTGTAGGGTTGTGGCTTATTGAGTGTCTGGGGTGCTCAACTCATGGGTTCCCTCGTTTTCCCCCTTTTCTTTTCCTCCTGTGTGTGCTTGCTCCTCTTCCCCCCTTTGTTGGAAATGCAACAGCATATACTGATATCTTGTCTTTTAAGCTGTAGATGGCGCTGTAGTACAATGTTAGTTTTCTATATGCATGCTTATCTATGGTTCCCAGGAAGTTTTCCTATATATATCTTTTCTTTAAATGCTGTATTCACATATAATGTCCTTCTAAGCAAGTAAAACTTAATTCAGCATTCCTCAACATCTCAGTGCTTCATCTAAACACATAACCAACACCCTTGCCCCTAATTTCAGCAATAAGAGATATACCATGGCTATTCACACTGCTTCCACATCAAATAAATCAAAGGATTCTTCTTCATAACTTGGTATAATTTTCAGTGAGAGGCATTCAAAGTGACCCAGAGGGGAGATTTCTTTTTGTCAAGGGCCACTCAGACGGCTTGTGAATCATGTTACTGCAGTTAATGTATATTTCCCAAATAATGATCAGCCAGCTTTCATCTGAAAGTGGTGGTTTCTAAAGTTTGAGGAAGGTATGAGATTCATGGTCTGAGGGTAGGGAACAATATTTACAGTGTTTTCAGTTGACATGCTATTCTTTATGACAAACCCATCCACGTCCTTGCCTGCTCTTATTCAGGAGTTTAAGAAGTATGGTAAGCTCTCTAACCTAAAGTTAAACTACTCAAAATTGGCAGCTTTGAAAATTAACATGTCCCAGTCTGTGGTTCTACCTTTGAAAGAAAGATTCCACTTTACTTGGCCCCCCCATCTCATATCAAGTATTTGAGTACTAATCTCCCTGTGGACCCAGGTGACTTATAAAGGCTTAATTTCTCACCACTGACCAACTCAGTTAAGATGGATCTGAAAAGATCTAAGTTGACTTTTTCATGGACAGGCAGAATGACAATTGTGTAAATGAATGTCCTGCCCACGGTGCTTTACTTACTGCAGATCCCCATTACTTTGCCCCCATCTTTTCTGAAACACTCAATCAAGGATTCGTTTAGCTTTATTCTGGCTGGGACGCAAGTTAGACTACCCAAATCAATTCTCAGGAACTATAAGAGTAGGGGAGGACTGGGGCTTCCCAACCTGGCTAGGTACGACCATCCATGTCACCTCATGAAACTGGTGGACTGGAGTGTTCAAAGGCATTCTAAGGCCTGGGTGGTTTTGGAGCAGAGTTGGCTGAGGAAAGAATTGGCCCTCATCCTGTGGTTGGATTATGAGCATATTCCAGCATCAGTTAAAGGTCATCCCTTGCTAGACATATTTGCAGATACATTTCCTTACTGGCCCTTAATCTATTGCAAAGTTTCACAGAGACTTGATGTAATTAAAATCAACAGTTCTTGGAAAGAGTAACACTAGGCATCTGGTCTCAGGTTTATATGCTCTGCCCAGCCAACCAGCTGTGGATACTGTGCCTCATTTCAAACTGAAACGGGAAACAGAGATGGTGCTGCAATTCTCTGAGGAGCACTGGCAAAATATCAGCATTTTGACCCTTAAAATTATATTAAAGTCAAAAGGATTTTAAGCTATTTCAAATAGTGATGAAATCACTTACAATAGATGCTGCTTCTTAATGTTTAAAAGTTTTAGTTTCCTGCAGAATCAGCTGGTCCCCCGAGCACTGGTCCTGACTTCCCATTTTAGAGTGACTCCTTTCTCAAGCAGAGTGCTATGCAGTCACCCTTGTGTGTGCTAGTAAGCTGTGTTTGTCTCCACAAACACACAGATACAGCAAATCAAGCTTCTTCTCCCCCCTGGCCCCCTCTCCTCCCTTCTCTGAGCTAGTAGATGTACAGATGCTGGAGTCTGCGCTGTCCCTTGTGATCTTGTACTGGACAGACAGGAAGTTCAGGGAAGCTGAGTTGAGTGACTTGATAGCAGCTTTTCAGAAACATGATGATTGTAAATATTTGGGGGGGGGGGGGGAATGTAAAGCAATGTATATTTATTTGATCTGGATTCATTATTAAAAACAAGTTTGAGAGTTTAATACTACTTCAAGAGCTTAGTCTGTAGCCGACTACAAAATCTTTTCTCCTTGGTATAAGACACCAGCCCTCCTGCATAAATTTGACAAATGTATTCCACCAATTTATTGGTGGTGTGCAGAAAATTTGGGGTCCGTCTACACATTTTCTGGGCCTGTCATAGAATACAGCCATTCTGGAAGGCAGTGCATTCAATACACATTTTGGAAGATTCAGTGGAATTTCTTCTTTATGCTCATGCAAGGGCTACATCCCACTAAAATATTTTTTTATTTTTCCACCCTCTCTGCTTTCCTGCTCAGGTGGACGGGGAGCTGGTTGGGGCCAGCTGACAGAGATACACAGACACAGCAGTTTGTCTCTTTGTTTTTCCTGCCTGTTTGATGTTTTAATAAATATTTAGACCATTGCATTTTGCAAGATGATAATGTGTTTGTTGTATTTTGTGGTGTGCTGTTTTTTTTTAAACATTTCTGTATTTTGTATTATTTTTGCTTTGTCTCGTATGCGGTTTTCGAATGGCGTGTGTAATTTATGATTTCAGAACTTTAAATAAAGTTTGAAACAAAATAAAAGAAGTGTAAGTGATGGGCTCAGCTACACCAACTCAGCAGCAAAGTGTCAGGTTTCATAAAATTACT